TTCGATGAGAAAGGCTTCTTTTAGCACGAATGGACGGAGGCTGTACCTGAAGATAGTTGGTGCGTTCAGGCATTTCTGAAGTAGTAGGTTGGGCAGTAGGAAAAATACAATTTAACATGACCTTTAATTTGATTATGAAATCGGCCCTTAATTAATAATGTTATAATCCTTGTTTATAGATATACATAGTTATCCAAAGAATTTAGTTCGTGGTCGTGATGCCTAGATGGCAGCGTGACTTATGTGTCGCCATTCATAAAAATTTAAATTTTACTATTCGTGCCCTAACGTATTACTACGAAAAACGTAAAATAAGTTGCATATATTTTAGTATTTCTTGCATAGAGAAAAATCGATAATGTGTCCTGAATGTGTCCTTCAAGAATAATACCGAATTGTTGAGACTATTCGTCAGTAGGTACCGATTTGTCGACGCCAATTTTTTTAAGTAGGTGTATGAACTGGTTTTATAAGAGGACACCAGCTGCGTTGAATCTTTTTAAGAAGTTTGTTTAAAAGACTATATTTAATATGCTGAGTAATTCATTGAAATTGAGACTACCTAATAATAACTCATAAAACATCCATTTTATCAAAAAAGTTTCATAAAACTTTCATCGTATAAAGAGGGAAAGTATTTTGAACGATTTTTATTGCATTTTAGAAGCGCCATCAATATTCTTCATTTGTTAAGTATGCTTTTCTAAAGCCCTTACACGATCAATATTGACAACACCTTAGCATATTGATAATAATATTGATAGTGTAAGGTAAAAAATTTTAGTGACGGTAAATATTGATGAAGAATTGATAAAAATTCGGATTTTTTGATTTTCGGGCGTCAATATTGATAATTGGAGGGGATATTGACAATACTATTGACCGTGTAGGGTTGGCGCCAATATTTCTATCAATACTCAAAATTAAATACCTACTTTTATTTAATTGTAACAATAACAAAACATGTCTCAACACATCAACACACTCAAAAACATATGTTATTTTACCCTTTAAAGGGCAAATTATTTTTTCGTTTTTAGAAACGATTTAGTTGTGGTAATGCAGCTATTTGACCTTATTGATAAGTGATCTCTATAGAAGCCACTAACCGTTAAAGGGTTAACCCAGATGATTTGAAAACAGGTTTAATTCTTATTTTCTACATTACACTCAGTTCAGTTCAAGTCGCGCGCCTGTGAATAAGTGGTGAAAATGACCGCCCCATTAACTGACATTGTTGACGTTCAAGACGATGAAGATACTGTTGGTTCATCTAGTTCATTCAGTTGGTCTTGTAGAACATATATAAAGGTTTGACAGGTTTCTATTACAGCCTTGCTGATAGTTGCTGGGGACATTATAACAGAAAACTTCAAGTCTTCAAAATTTCTTTCTGTGGCCAAGTACCTCAGGGTTAAGGCTAATCTTTCCCTAACACTTGTACTTTCTCTCATATTGCGATCCTGTCTTTTCAAAAATGGTTCAACCATCTGTAACAGTTTGTTAAAGGAACTTTCATCCATTCAAAAGTAGTTCTTGAAATCATCAACATCGCAGAGGTTGATTTCTATCAACAGTACTAGATAAGAATATTCATCTCTCTTCTTCAACCATTCTTTCATCCAGTGTTTGCGTTTCACTCGAAGAGTAGTTCCAAGCGTCAAAATAATAGCTACGCAAGCTTTTGTACGATTATCTTTATTTCGAAAGGAAAAACCGAGTAAAACTACGTAGATTCACCCTGTTCGTGGTAAAAAGGTAACTTATTGAGCAAGGTGATTGACAAAACTATTGACAATAATATTGATCGTGTAAGGTAGTGAAGTATTGAGATTGTTGTATTGTCAATACTGACATTGTCAATACTATTGATCGTGTAAGAGCCGCTAAAGGGTACATGTTTTTTGAGAAGCATGTTTTTCGAAGAAAGGGCCAATTGAAAAGTTTCCTCTAATCCCACACATTATATTAACTGCCCAACGTCGTTAGTAATTCATTTCACGTAACCAATAACAATTTTCTAGTAACCAATAAAGCAGACTTGCATCCAATGACAAAATAAAATTGACTTTTGGATATCATTCCTGAAGCTCTTGATGCAAACAGCGTACTGGTGAAATTTATGGCAATGTGAACAGCAAACTCATAAAAAAAACGCGAGAAGAAATATGTGGATTATTACGAACAACAGCTTAAACATTGAATTTCTTGTAGCGCCTTCTTCTCTATTGAAGATCTTACACAAGATAGGATGTGTCTGTCTAGAAATCTTTGTTCGAATAAATTTTGGGCAACATTAATATCTTTGACTGCTCTATAAACAAAAGTCATTTTAGTTTTTTCAGCAATCGTGTCCCTTTCCATGCATAATTAAAATAAGCAATAAAGTTACTATTTTACAACATAAGTAATTTATAATTTGCAATTATAAGTAGTTAGCAGGATTTGCCATGTTTTTTGTTATTATGTATTCATGATTTTCATTATGTTCAGTCAACACAATAAAGTCACCTTAAAAAAGTTCATTAATATACAGGCTGTTTCTAAATTAATGCGAAAGATTTCAAGGAGTGATTTTTCAGCAAAAATTAAGGACAGTCTTTCATATAAGTTTTTGTTCAAAACTTCTTCCCCACCGAGTTACAGTACTCTAACGTTAGGGGAAAAAATTGTTTTTATTTAATAAATCCACTATGGAAAAATTTAGAAGATTGAAATTTGACAGATAACTGTTAATAAAATGACACTTTTTGACGATTTTTATAACCCGAAAATGTTATGTATTTAAAAACTTGATTTAAATAGTGGAATTCAATACGCAACTTTTTTGTCTCTTGACATTTTCTCCTAAAATTGTTAGTTTGATCACCAAAAAATAAAATAATATACAGGCTCAAGTGAATTAATTCAGAAATTGGTTATTATTAGTCAAAGAAATGAAGTTATGTCAAATTAACAATTTGTTAGTTGTAGAATGTCAAGAGATAAGAAAGTTGCAGATTTTCCCTTAATTTTAGAGGGCTATAACTTGGAGGAGAAGGGGTTTTGAACAAAAAGTTATATGAAAAACACCCCGTAATTTTCGCTGAAAAATCATCCCTTGAAATCTTTCAGATCAATTTAGAAACACTCGTTAATAAAATGAGAAATACATACTTCGTTTTTATTTGTTTAATTGATTCTAATTAATATTTCTTAATTTTCGTATTTGTATTTTAACCAAAGAATTCTCAACGACGAAATAATAAAGAACGAATTTGTTTACGTGAAATCGTTTATCCAAACTCGAGTAGTTGCAAAAAAACTTTGTTTATACTATGTACATACTCGGCTCAAAGGAACGCTCGGCGCTACCACGTCTAGAATTAAGTCTGCAATAGGACGAACAAAAATCAAAACTCACCATTTAATAGCAAGGCAATTTTTGGTTCTCTATTATAAAAAAAGGACAGATATTTTTTTAAATATTTAGATGTAATGTTTAATGTAATTAAATATTCACACGTTCAATCACATAAATTCAATTAATCTTTTATTCTGAGTATGCAACTTCTATTACAAGTTGGATTTCCAATTTTATTCAATTCATTCATAAATGATGTTTTTCTCGTTTGCCGTTAGAGGCAGCACGAGCTAGAGCAACCCAACTCGTCCGGTTGGATAACTATGTATATCTATAAACAAGGACCATAGTGACAATGTGATGACGATAGGTAAATTTGATCAACCTATTATTTTTTCAATTCATATCAACTCCATTCTTAAGCCTTATCCTTATCTTTCTTCATACCGATTTAACTTATTGAAAAAAAAAAAGTTGGCTCATGGGGGGATCGAACCCGCGACCTTCGCGTTATTAGCACGACGCTCTAACCAACTGAGCTAATGAGCCTTGCTGTAAAACTTGCTCAGCATATAATTCTGAAAACGGATTTCTTACAAATCTTTTTAATATTTAAGATAAAAAGGATTAATATAACATTAAATATTTTTAAATAACAAGGAATTATATTTCTTCATTTCGTTTAATCAAGATCCAACATATCGACAGCATTCGTTTTTAAAGCCAGCAGAAATTCCTCCTCTACAATAAAAACAACGACATTTATCAATAAACATTCTGTTTCGAATACAAACGTTTAGGATTAAATACTGGAACGCCGGGTAAATAATTTGTTGGCAGTCGTTTCTTAGGATTTAGAGTTCTCTTTGATTTTGTTATAATTGTTTCGCCATTACCTTTTTCTTTAATAAGAACCGATTTAGCCCAAAGAGTGGTTTGCTTTACTTTCGATATAACTACAAATAAAATATAATCAGATACACAATATGAGATATAAAAAACAGTTCATACCAGGATCAGGATAACTCGTACAATACTTCTTTCCGTTCAATTTAATCGATAATATTTTCGGATAATTATCTTGAAACGGAAAAATTACCGCCCATTGAAGAAATTTTGAATTTAACACTTCTTGGTCAGTAGACAGTACATTTACTTGTATGTTATCCTAAATAAATCGAATTAAGATTAAGAAAATGTATTGAATCACTTACCATAGTAGAAATGATTCCATTATAACTCATATCAACTTCTAAAGTGATTTCATTTTCGTGGAAAGGATTTGGTAGTGAAATCAAACCAAAATAACCACCAAACAGAACGTTTTCAACATAATCAAAAATTAAGGGACACGAAATATACGGAAATTGTTTTTTATTAATTTCATCGTTAAGAATCATATTATCGATATCTAAAAATGAACCATGATTTAAACAAATAACCGGATTCAAATTTAAATTAACAAGAAAATATATTGTAATTAAAGTAATCATTGTTGATTTTTATTTTTATTGGAGTAAATTAATTGACGCGATTTTAAATTGACTTATTTTCCGCCTACATAAAGATAAAAGTTATTTTCAATTTTTATTGTATTTGGATGAAAAAAAAAATATTTATAATTTTTATTTTTTATTTAAAAACAAATACAAAATAGCTATGTTTGTGAAATTTCTTCATCTTCAACATCGTCATCATCATCATCATCATCTTCGTCATCATCACTTTCCTCTTCATCGCTACCATCTTCATCGTCACTTCCACTAGTTGCAGTCAAACTTTTCGAACTAACACTTGATTTCGATCCGGAAACATCCTTTCCTTGATGTTCCTTAATAATTATTTTCCATCTCGGATTCACATTGTAAACACCAACTGGTTCTTTGCGTTCATTCATTCTTAATTTTGTATCATTATTAACTGAGGTATACTGATCATTTCGTTCAACTTTTTGACTTTGATTGTTTGTAATATTTTTTTCGTTTTCATCGGTTTTCATCATTTTCATTCTCATCATAGCTTCCAACTCGTTGCTAGTTAGTCGAACGTCAACGTCCTCTTTTTCAATTATTATTCCGTGTTCGTCAACAATAATGGGTGGCGATATCTTGTGCTGTTTTAATTTATCATCGATAATTTCTTTTTGATGGTGAAATTGCGATGAAATATCCGATTGGCGTAGGAAGAAATGCTGAACGGTTGAGTTGCTTTGAAAAGAAGTGGTTGTTGTGGTTGAAACATTTTTCGATACGTTGGATTCTTGGGTATCTTTGATGGTTTGAAGGAAATTTTCATCGTTTTCAATAATCGTTACGTGTTTTACTGAAAAAAACATTTCATTTTCAGGTTATTTTATTATAACAATGACTAAATATAAAAATTATATAAATATATGGATTAAACAGAGCTTTTTTAGATATTCCATCAGCATGATCGTTTGATGGGTTTGGTGGAACGGGTTAGCACTCTACCTACAGGAAAACTAATTTTGTATAACTCAGATACCCACAAACTAGCCTCGAAATAGGAATGATTCAAAGATGAGGAAAAAGGGAAAAGTTGACGAATTGGAGCATGAGAAGTGTTATGCGTTGTTAATAAGTAATAAAGAAGTGTTATAATCAAGGACTGTGTATTAAACAGAAAGAAAATGCAATGAACACGTCGATCGCATAGCAGAGGAACTAATTGTGAGAATAACGAGGGACACATCACCATCAGGAAAAGATGGAGCGACAACCTTCCAAATGACTACTATCCGTGCCAAAAGTCAAGGCCCCTCACTTTAGAGATCAATTATATCTTCGCAACCACACGATTAAAAGAATTGCGGTAAAGTTTATTGTGATTACTGAACATTTCTACGTAACATATATGAATTTGAAAATGTTTGGCTACGTTTTCTTTTTATCGTGAGATAAATGAAAAAAAATTTCAAATTTGAACAGATGGTAGAATGACGTGTTCCTAATGAGGGGCATATTTTATTGTTTCGATTTTATCGCGATTTATATGGAATAGATACAACTATATGGAATAGTACAGGACGTCGCGCCTTTATTACTTTATGTAGGTAAAATACAGACGTGACGTCTTGTCTAGAACGTACATCTTTTCCGATTGGACGAAACCCCCTTCTCCTAGCGTGGCATATTTCTGTTCCTTTTTAATTTGTAATTCGCGCAAATCGCTGTAAAAAAATTAGAGAGACATAACTTTGATAAACAAATAACGGAATTCGACAAATGCAATTATTTGACATATTATTTGATTAAAACCGCGTAAAATCCTTCCAGCCATTTTCGACATAACCGCATCCTACTAAACCGCGATTTTCCGCGAAACTATAAAATAGGCCCCTCATTAACCCCTTCACGCCCAGAATTAAATTGAAAATAATCTCTGCAACACCAACTTGAGCCTTATCTTGAACTTTCCAGCCTTAAAAATCTCAATGTCACACCAACACTACTATCTTATATTAAAATACACTGTTGGACATAATTCACGAGCACACCCTATATAATCTGAACGCGCGAAGATAAATCCATGATATTTGCGGAGCACAAAGGTTTACTGTAGACGAGTTTATTCAGCGAGTTTCGAGTTGTTCCGTCGCGGCATTGTTGACTGAGCCGCCCTTCCAAGTGGAACCTTCCGTCGCTATGGAGACCGAAGTGGATGGAAAATACCGGTCGTTTTTAGTGTGGTGTGAGGAACCACATTGTTATCGTACTCTGTGCACAATGGATGGACGATCGCGTTACTTAAGCAAGTTTGTGCGAGGAATGTATGAGAGTATGCACATTAACGGTTTATCGTTCCGTGAAATTGCGCGTCGTTTCGAGCGGTCGTTATCGGCAGTGCAACGGGCATGGCGAGAATGGTCTGAGGTAGGACATAGGTACCTTCAGCCGCGGCCGGGAGAGCCCTGCGTGACCCCAGCACCCGAGGATCGCGCTCTTGTGCTCAACGCTTTAGCGTCGTGTGAGTCCTCCTCAAGGCAACTTGGAGCTGTTTGGCCACCGACAGGGGAAGGCGCACTCACTACGCGAACTGTACGGTGGCGTTTGGTAGATAGTGGACTGCGCGTGCGTCGTGTGATACAGCGGAATCCAGTAACACCCGAGCACCGCAGCATACGTCACGAAGGGGTCGACGCTAGGCATTAGTAGGTTGCCGAGTAGAGGGACATTTTGTTTTCCGACGAACCAAGATTCGAATTGAGTACCGGTGATGCGCGCATTTTAGTTCGTCGGAGCCGTGGTGATCGTCTACTCGAGCAGTGTGTGCAAGAGCGCCCTATCCACCGACAACCGAGCATTATGGTATGGGGTGCGATTACATATGGTGGACGTACACGTCTGCTGTGTGTATAGCAGACCATGACGGGTCAACGATACGTAGATGAGGTGCTACGGTCCGTTGTGCTTCCCTACGTTCGGCGGCTCCCAGGTCTGCTATACATGCACGACAACGTACGTCAGCACATCGGGCGTGTTGTACAGACCTTTGTGGAAGAGCACCGTATACAAATGCTTCCATGGCTAGCTCGGTTTCCGCATCTGAATCCGATCGAACATGTTTGGGACATGACTGGTCGTAGACTTCTACGTTATCCGGCTTCCTCGGCTAACGTTGAGGAGCTATGGAGGCGAGTTGAGGTGGCATGGTTGGCCATCCCTCTCGCTACAATACTGCGACTTATAGATTCCATGCCATGTCGTGTAGCGACGGTATGCGAAGCTCACGGGGGATACTCTCGCTATTGATGTTTCTCCTCCCAGCAGAGTTGTGCCGCTCTCCATGTGAGAGTAAGTTACACTACTTTAGTACTACTTCCATATCAAATTTTATTGCGCTAGACACACGCGTTCAGGTTATACAGGGTGTGCTCGTGAATTATTTCCAACAGTGTACGTTATGACGCTACCATAGGCGTTCTTGGCGAAAAGCAGTCACATTACTAGAATGCCACCGTTGGCGTCACTGGGCGTGAAGGGGTTAAGAACACATCATTCTACCAGCTGTTCAAATTTGAAATTTTTTCCTAGGAGAGTTCCAACAAAAAAAAAAACCAAAGTGGACAAACTTGCTGGCAAAAATCGTACAAAATCGGGTACTGTTTTCATTTAACTCGTGATGAAAACAAAAACCCGAACATTTTCCAATTTATAAACTGTAAAATGTTCTTACAACAAACTTTACCGCAATTTTGTTTATGGAGCAGTTGCAGAGATGTCGGTTTCTAATGTGAAGGGCCTTGACTTTTTGTACGGATAGTAAATATAGGTAAAGATGTGAAGAAAAATGTGCAATTATGTCTAAATACAGAAGGAAAAAGTAAGAGACTTTTTAAAGTATCCACAATAAAAATAGCCTTTAAGATTGAGATCCGGTAAACGAGAAGACTAAGAAGTAAAATGAACTAGAGCTTTGATATGTTTCTCAATGTATTCATATTGTAATCAATGCTAAGTAACATTTCATATCTCGTCTTCTTATTCCAACATTACAGTCCTCTGTGGACTTTAGCATGCTTCACAATACGATGTGTCAGAAGCTGAAAGCCTACAGTTTCATCCTACCATCGTATTTTGGTCTTCCTCTACCTTTTTGTTCCTGCATCTTTTCCAGGTGTCCCAACCATGTTATTCTTTGTGCTTTTAAGTGTTGTGCTATGTCTGCACCATAAGCTGGTCCTATACGTGGTTCGTTCTTATTCTCCATATACTAACACCATCTTGTATCGGTTCGTAGATTTTGTACAAGATCAGATTTTCAAAGACTCTTCATTTGTTTTCATCTCCTGTCGACATGGTCCATGTTTCGTATCCATATGTTGCTCTTATTCTTATAATGCAATAGATCTGGAGTTTCAATTGTCTGCCTAACATTTTACTTATCATTAGGTGTCTGTAAGCATAGTAGCAATTATTGCCGCAAAATATTCTAGGCTCGATTTTTTCGGACATTGTTTGTTTCGTTTACTATGAATGCCACATATACGAAGCATAGTAGTTTGCGTTTCTTTTTCGAGATCTATAAATTAACAAAGTTTTTCATGAGTTCTCTTTTAGTGCGGCTTAGAAATTTCGCATTCCAAGCTGTCCAACGCCATAGCTTTTAAAACCAGATTAAATATTATGAGGGATAACACATCCTGATAGTTGCCTTCGATACAGTTAGCGTGATATTAATTAAGCTTATTAGCATATGCGCTATATTCGGTTTTGTTAGGTGTTGTAGCATATTTTTTCTACTTCTTTTATCAAAAACTTGTTTGAAACTGATGCAAATGCTGTACAGATGGAAGTTATATTCTAAGAATTTTTCTTGCATGTTACGCGGAGTGTAGTATATCTATATGTCATATTCTAACCATTTATATTTATCTATGGTCTCCACTTGACCGACCTGGCCTAAATCCACTTTGATATTCTCCCAGGTTTCATTTGCATTCAACACATTAGTAGGTACATTCTGCCTGATAGCACTTTGTAGATGGTGTTTAGCAGTCTGATGGTTTTGTAGTTGTTACAGTTTAGTTTGCTTCACTTCTTATAGTTGTGCTGGATGACACCTACCTTTCACTCTTTGGAATTAGTTTATTTCTCCATATTTTCTGTATTAATTGACATATGCGTTCCTACATGTTCTTTCCTGATGCTTTCAATAGTTTAGGAGCTATTGCATCTTCTCCAAAGGCCTTGTAATGCTTTAACTTCTTTATTGTTTGTGCAATTTCTTCGTATGTCTGTTCCGGTACTAACACATCATCATGGCCTCCATATTTTGTTCGTCCTCACTATCTTCTTTGTTTTTCTCACTTCCATCGTTTCTTTCAAAATTATTCCGTTGTCATCTTTGCATGTTGCTGTTTGGTTAATCCTTGTAAAATTTCCTACTTTCCTCTTTCTGTTATCCGTTATATTTAATGTTTTACGCTTTTCTTTTTACTACGCCAGGTTCTGTTGGCCTGTCTTCGATATTCTTCATACTCAGCGCTGTTCAATCTCGTGCTTTGTTATAATAATAATAATAATAATAATTCACTTTATTGCCCAACAAAGATCAATTACAGGACAATATTACAAGAAAAAGAAAATAAGAAATAACACATGCCATAAAGCAAATATAATTCACATAAACACTCTTACATTATTATTGATTGTTAGTTAGTTTACACATCCTCTGCACCGGGGAGTTGGCTAAAACATTGGATCTGCAATTTCTCAAATAAAACTGATTTGTACTACGTGTTGTACGCGTAGGCACCGCGAAAATGATCCGCGACAATAACCAACCACAATCCAATTCAC